TGGGGCTGCTGCAGGTCGTCCTGGGCTGCGCTCTGGTGGCGCTGAACTTTGGAGCGCTGTCACTGAGCAGCGCCCCGCAGGTGAAGAACGCGTGTCCCTTCTGGGTCAGCTGTTCGGTAAGTCGCCGTCGCGGATCCCGAGCGTCCGCCAGGTGCTGGGATACCCTCACGGAGCTGCCGCCTGTCACTGGGGAACGCGTGCTCCCAGGAGCTCCTGTGGAGCAGAGCGCCGGCTTTCTTCCACTTGGAAATCACGAGCAGCTACGCTTGTGCTAACAGTTTTACCAACGTGAGAGCATGGTCCCAACAGGTCAACTAGAGACAACTTAACTATTACACGCAGTCAGAAACAGGATTTTCTCAAGTTGTGGTGCATGTAGAGGTTGTATATTGCTTTTGTGCCTTTTATGCCGTTACTCTAGTGAGCGAGAGCTAAAATAGCGGTACTCCTGGCAGAAAAACCAAAAGAACAGGGAGGGGCTTGTAACAGTTTTGTAAAGAGAAGTGAGAGAAGTTATTCCATCTCCTGTTGGGCCCTGCTTTTAACAGCACATTTGTAAGTACAGACTGTATAATAGTTTGAATTGCAGAAGCCAGGCAGGAATAAGCAGAAGTTTGTACGATTAAGAGGTAATTGGATAGACTGTTCTCAGTTTGAGGGCCCTTGAGCAACGAGCAAGTCATGTTCTGTGGCTGGCATGCTCTGCTGCTGGTGCGAACAGCATCAGCCTGTCCCTCGGTCTGAACATTTAAATTGTGTTTGCAGTGTTGTTCACAACCAGTGGAAAAGCGCTCAGTGATCTATGATTGGGGATCAAGTAGTTCCTATTCGTGTGTGTAATGTAATTCTCATACCTGAAAGTATAGACAGCCTACGCTGGGAGGAGAGGGGACAGGGAGAGGAAGGAGACGTGAACACAGATCATCCAAATGTGTATGTTTGGCGCGTCTCCTATGGTTTTTCATCTTCTTTTTCTTACCCTACATTAAACAAGTTTAAGTGTATGTAAGTGATGGATTTTCTTTGAGCCCTGGACAAAGAACCACTTTTAAAATTTTTTAAAATGTCATGTGTAAAATAGAAGTATTCGGTCTCATTAATAATGGAGGAGGTGTTCACGTTTTTAATGCTAGCTCTGATACAATAATATCCTCATTTGGAAAAGTTACCAAAAATGCCATTTGGGTGTAACAGCATGAGTGAAAGTTTTAGCCCAGAAGCAATCTCAAAAGGTAGAGGCAGTTGCAAGCTGGAATTGAGGATGTGTCTGTTTTGTTTGGTTTGGATATTTTTTTCAGATGCAGATTATGATGCGCTGGTTAAGTGCAGAACAGGAAAACTATGAGAAATGCTTTCTTTTCATATCTTAAAGCTTTAACAAGCATAATGAAATAGGTCATGTTGTTCTTAAGACATCAGTATTGACATGCTTTGATATAAAATCATGTGACTATTTTGCACTCAAAGAATTCAAAACGAATTTGTTATGAAACTGCAGAGTTACGTATGTGGTTTTGCAACACTACTGATGATATCAGTAGGTGTTTTGGCCAAGTCGTATATGCACATAGATTCATCATGGCAGGTGAATGAAGTTACAGAAGGGATTTATTAAAAATGCTAATGGCCAATTAACTGTTTAATCTAGCTTTCTTGTTTCTTTTTAGGTGGGAATTTGGCATGGATTGTTTTAGTCACAAAGTCCCACAGATATAAAGTATACCTGCTTATTTGTGGGACCTGCTGAAAAACTGATTTGCCTTTCTTTACAAGGGTTACCATCCTTACTGTGAGAGAGTGTTTGAGTAAACTGTTTGCTTCAGTTCTACAGCAATTATTTCTCCTTCCATAATTGTTTTGCCCTCTAAGGTAAAGAGTCATAGGGTTCAGGTCTGTGATTCAACAAGTTTGGTCTTATAACTACTCCTGCAGAAGGGGATGCTTCTGCTTCTCCTTCCTTGTGCCAATACTCGCATTCATCCAACTAAATAGCAAGTCAGTTCAGGGAGATGGTTTTGGTGCATGTCTGTCAACTTTGGTAGGGTTTCTACTTTGGAAGTTAGTTCACCGAAATGGTCAGGAGGGGGCCAAAGTCAGCACAAGATAAGAGGCAGGAGGTGCCTCTGAAGTGATGGAGTGGTGACCAACTGAGCAGAAGAAATAGCCAGTTTTTAGACTAGCAGAACACAAGCACTCAGTTAGCTGGAAGTAATTTTTTAGGCAATTGTTGAAGTAATTGTTGCCAGCATAACTTCCTGTCCCATGGACATTTTCTGGGAGGGAAAAAAAAAAGAAAATAACAGATTAAAATTTGTGTTATTTCACAGGATGCTTTTAAGAGTGAAGAACCTCATCAGCACAGGCTCTCTCTGCTTTGAAGTGGATCTTCACATCTTCCCGGAGTTGTTGTAGTGTTCCAAAGTACACCTCATCAGAGCGATAAATACCACGTAAACGGCATTTTGTGAACAGTTGTTCGCTTCTTGGTGATGCTACATTTTTTTTATGTTGTAGGTAATCTTATCTGGAATCTTAGGCCTAACAACATGGAAGAGGACGATAGTGCATTTGGTAAGTATGAATTAAAACTTATTGTAAGGAAATTATGAGAAGATGATTTAATAGTCACTGGTTTTAAAAAAAAAAAAAAGAATCATTTGTTTCTCCTTGAAAAGACGGACTATGCTGCTGACTCTCTTTTTTAAAATGGTAGAATCATAATTATTGAAAGAGGAGTCAAAGTCCCCGAAAGGCTAAATTATTTCCTGCATGGATGGAGTACCCATTAAGGGCAAGTGTGGACCATGTCTGGAAGGAGTGTTAATGTTGTTTACAGATCATTTTTTTGTGCTTGTGTAGGTATAAGAAAATACTGGTTTAGCATAAAGTAGCTCTCTAAGGTGGTGCTATTGAAGCTTAAAGAGGGGAACTGGTTTTAAAGCTTAGCTCAGTTGTACTGTTTTAGTGCCCAACAGCAGGTTTAAGAGCTAACCTAAGCATTGCTATCTTACAGAAAGTATCCAGGTTTTGTATTTGTTAATTACTGTTTCAAGTACAGTCGACATTAGAATACTCTGAGAGAGGTAAACTGATGTGTGGAGTGTGTGAGCTGTTTCCGCTTCTAAGTGAAATCAGAAGCTGCGTGGCTCTCAATGTCTCAGAGTTGGGATTAAAAAAAAGTGTTTGGAGTGGATTTATTTCCCTCCCTCGGCCTCCATGCTGTCACTTCTGAAGACATCCAGCCAAAAGCAGTTGTTTTATTTTTATGCAGTGCTTCCTCAGGATCTGCCTGGTCGTCCGTGAGGAGTATGGAGGATCAGGTGTGTGAGCTGTGGACAAATTGCTGTTTCTCAGTGGTGCATTGGTTAGCACAGGCAGAGCAAAGCAAGTTTTTTACTGGTTCTTTGGATAGAAAGAAGAGCTTGGTGTCTGGGGCTCCCAATCTGGAAGGACCATATTTTCATGAGAATAAATGTAAATGCCATCTGTCTCAAAATGCCTAAGGCTTGCACACTGCTCCTTGTTTCTATGTTGCCTGTGTTCTGTGCTGTTTCTACAGCATATTGTTGGTGTAGTTCCCTTTTGCCGGTTGTTGCTCTTTCATTTTTTCACATTCTCCTTTGTATGAACTTTATGGGCCCTTCCTAGTTTTACTTAAATATGAAAGCAGCAAACTCTTTCTGATCCTTTCATTTATATCAGATGATCTGTAGGACATTCGAGTGCTAGGGCAGATTGCTCAGTGATGTCCTGCAGCAGATGGGCAAGTTTGAGATGAGACTGATTAGAGCCCTGAGCAGCCTGCTGTGATCTCATAGCTGACCCTGCTTTGAGAAGGAGGATACACTAGTTTTCTTCCTGAGCTCCCTTGCAGCCAGTTGTTCTACGATTATGTGAGTCTATGAAACTGTATTCATTTATTTATTTATTTGTATGTGTGTTTTATAGGTTTTTTGGAAGCCAGATTAGATTAGACTTGACACTGTAAAATATTTATTTACCAAAAGAGTGGACGTACCCTGGAACAGGCTTCCTAGAGAGGTAGTGAATGCCCCAAGCCTGTCAGTGTTTAAGAGGCATTTGAACGATGCCTTAACAACATGCTTTAACTTTTAGACATCCCTGAACTGGTCAGGCAGTTGGACTAGATAATTGTTATAGGCCCCTTGCAACTGAAATACTCTATGTGCAAAAAAGGAAATCAGCGTTAAACATTTTGTGAGATGAAGGAAATCATGCATTAAACTACCTACAGTCTATCAAGGATGGGTTGTTAGGTTCTGGAATATATTTATTTTGGGCTAAATTTCTAATATAACTATCGTCTAGTAACTTGAACATTTTCTCTTGGGAGTTATAAGGAGTTTATGAGTTGTAAAAGCAAGTTTCCTAAATATGTAAGCAATAAGACTCCTTATACAGCTGTGTCTTAGAGTTATATAGAGTTATTCATAACTAAATCTAAAACTGTAAAATTCAAAAAGTGTTAATATTTTTGGTCTTATGACAAAAAAATACAGCTCTTCATTGGAAAACGATAATTTTACGGAATTCCAGTATTTATTTAAAACCTTGGAAATTTTTGAAGAATAGATTTATAGTATACCTTTTATTTAATTAAAGAATTTTATCAGAGGAAGAATATGTTCCAGCAGCTTTAAAATAAAGATTTTCAGGGCTAGCCACGGCCTTCTTGGTGTCTGCACCTTGACTAATTTGCATTGATTTAACTAAAATTTAATGTTTAGACTAAAATACTGGTGCTAGTGAAGTGACATTCCTAAATTTTAGCCCTGCTAGTAGCAATATAGAACACTGTGAACATGCATATCATGACCCTAATCCTGGAAAAAAAAAAAAATCTCTTTCTATCCATGTGCATCATAATAAGCAAAGTCATTTGGCTTTGGTGAGAATTACTGTAGCAGCGCCTGTTTGTCTGGATCTTTAGAAGTAAAATAGCTCAATATTAACATTTTGGCTCAGATGCAGGACTTCACCATTAAGTCAACAAATGGTGTTCATGCAAAGGTTTTAAAGTCAGTCTAAGCAAATAAAAAGAAATATGCTTTTAAGTGTGAGACTGTGAAAAGCCTTTAGAGAGGCTTTTAACCTCTATAATCAGGTCAAAGTCAGTTCTCTTCTGATTTTTTAATCATTGATTTTTATGCTGAAAAAGCTTCTCTCTCATTCATATCGTGTGTTTTAATGCCCTATTTAAAAGTATGTGACTTTTTAACTAAATGAAATGGTTTGTCTTTTAGATTTGTGTGGGGTTTTTTTCTTGTTGACAGTTGTAGTGCAGGTCTTCATATGGTACAATAAACAGCATTCACAACTGATAGAAGATTAGTAAGGTGCCATAATTAATGCTTAATTATTGCTTGCTGCAATATTGTATATTGGAAAATTGATGCATTGACTTGCCTTTTCCTAGAAGGCAAGTATATACATAGAATGTAAACAGATATGAGGTGATGATTATGGAGCAAATGTTTTTCTTTCATTTATTTAAGTTCCTGCTTGGGCATCACTCCTGTTTATGCATACTAAAGTGAAAGCAATTCCTCTCTGGCATTAGATATCAGCTTCAATGGCAGCAGCAGGACAACAAGCAGTCTACCCATGCAGAATGAATGATAATGTCAGAGCCTTAGCATGCAAGTTTATGCTGCTGCGGAGTCCTCGAAGTACGTGATGGTTTTTTACGTGGAAGAGTATTTACATGCAAGACATTAGTAAATACTGTGTCTGACGTTAGAATACACTTTGCTTTCCTATAATTTATTTCATATAAATGTTCCTCAAGACTTTCTGCATCTGTTCACAGTCCATGTGCATCTAATGCTCAGAAGATGAGGGCTGTGAGCCAAACTATAGCCATAATTTGAGTTGTTCCATTTTTGTCACTGCAGTTAGACTAGTTACCTCTGTTTGGCTTTTAAAATAGCATGTTTGCCTTTGCCTGTTTATTATAAGTTGAGGAGTACTTCTCTCCTGGTTTACCTGTGGGTGGGATCTTCTTTCACTGAAATAAAGACCTAGTTTTACTTGTAGTTGAGTAGTGATGGAGATGATGTTCAAATTTGCATCTGCAGGACAATATAGCTTGTAAATTAAGCTGACATAGTACGTGTTAGATAAGTAGGCAGTGAGGTGGATTGAAAACTGAAAGAACAGCTGGGCCCAGAAGGCTTTGATCAGTGGCAGAAAGCCCAGCCAGAGGTCAGTTGAGAGTTTTGTGTCCTAGGTGTGGATATTGGGGCCTATGCTGCTTAATATCTTAATGAATAGTCTGTACAATGGGACAGAGTGCACTCAGCAAATTCACAGTGATACAAAACTGGGTCAAATGGCTGATACACCAAATGTTGCCCTTCAGAGGGACTGACCTGGATAGGCTAGATAAATGGGCTGAAAGAAATTTCATGAAGTTTGGCAAGGGGAAATGCAAAGGCCTGCCAGTGCAGGGAAATTACCCCAGTACACACTCGGGAACAACTTGCTGGAAAGCAGCTCTGCAGGAAAGAATGTGTGGATCTTGGTGGACAACAAGCTGACCATGGTTTAGTTGTGGACTTCGCAGTGCTAGGTTATTGGTTGGACTTTATGATCTTAAAGGTCTTTCTGAACCTGAATGATTGTATGATTCTGTAAGACAGCAAAGTGATCTTCTGGGAGGGAGAGCTAATGGTGTCTTTGGCTGTACTAGTAGGAGACTTGTGAGCAGGTTGAGGGAGGTGATCCTTCTCCTGCCTGCAGCACTGGTGAGGCCACACCAGGAGTGCTGTGTCCAGCTCTGGGCTCCCCACTTCAAGAGAGACATGAACATACTGGAGCAAGTCCAATGAAGGGCCAATAAGATAATGAAAGGGCTGGAACATCTCTTGCCTGAGGAGGCTGAGGGAGCTGGGGATGTTCAGCCTGGAGAAGAGAAGGCTCAGGGGGAATCTTCTCCATCTCTACAAATAGCTGGTGGGAGGGAGTAAAGAAAAGGGGGTAGACCTTTCTCAGTAGTGCCCACTGACAGGACAAGAGGCTATAGGAACAACTGAAAAAAATAGGGAATTCTGTGTGAACACAAAACCCCATTTTTTTTTACTGTGAGGATAGGCAAATACTGGTGTAAGTGACCCAGAGAGTTTGTGGAGTATCCATCTGTAGAGATACTGAAAACCAACTGGACATGGTCTTTGGCACCCTGCTGTAGATGACCCTGCTTGAGTAGGAAATTGGACTAGATGGTCTCCAACCTCAATGATTCTGTGAAAATACTGACCAGTGATGGACCAGAAAGAAAAAGGATTTTTTTCTCTTGACATTAAAATATAATATATTATCTTGTCCACTATTGGATACGTAGTGTGTATTTTATGGTTCAGGTCATGGTAGTGTTTTAGATTGTATATAGAAGAATTATTTTTATCTTTGCCTTTTCAATGGGATTGTCTGAATACTAGGTTATGCAGTCAAAAATAGACTATAAATGTAAAAAAAACCACATCAAGACTACATTGTTGGTAAAATGGTATGGTACAATTTATTAGAATATAAATGTAGAAATTATAATGCTTCTTCTGCATATTTAAAATAATGCTCCTTTTCTTCTTTTTAGTTTGATTTTAACATGTTTCTTTAGAAAAATCTGTTATTTTTTTTCAAGATTTATAGACTGTTATGTAAGAAGTCCAGATTTTATAAGAACTTTTTATGTAGTTCTACACTGGATTGTTCCTATTGCAGCTTCTGTACCAAAGGAGAAAATTTCCTTGTATGAAATACCTGTGTCTACCAATTTTATTTTTCTCAACATAGTTTTAATCAAAAGGGTAACTGAGATAATTTAGATAAAAGCACAAGAAATGGTATTGATTCTTCTGAGTACTGAGCAAAGAGTTAATATTAAAAAAAAGATCAAATTCTCTGTACAGAAAAACAAATGGCACTCAAAGTGCTTACTAACATTAAAAACCTCTTATCTGTCATTTTATATTTATAAAGCTAGGAGAAAATGCTGTTCCTCTTAGTATTGATTGTTCTCAGTATGTTGAACACAAAATAGTCCCAAGCCTCTTTAGAGAAGTACTAATAGCTACTTTAATTATTGGGGTTTTTTGAGGTTAAAACCCACCTTATGTGATAATGTTATGGTCAAACTCCTGTAAAGCCTACTAATAATGAGATGTTGTAATTTAAGGAATGAGCTTGCACAGTAATGCTCGTTGGCTTTTGTCCATTCAAGGGTGATTATTTTTCCCTGAACCTGAGTAAACAGGATCATAATTCATGCAACAGCTCTGATTTATTTTTGGTCCAGCTTCCTAGGTAGTTAACCATGATACGTCAGCTAATTTGGAAAGCAATTGTGTGTATTTAGGAAGTCCTTGTTGCTGGATCTGCTGTAAAGTTATCTGGAGCAGAGCTAAGCCCATGTCCCTCATGAGTTTCTTTTCTTTCTCAGGTTTTTGTCCTCTCCTGCATTTTTAATTTAGGCCATTTTGATACAAAGCCATCTAAGTGAGCAGACTGTTACTAACAAGGATTTTTTTGACATCAAAGACCTGATAGTTTCTTTGTGGGATTGAGTGCTTAAAATTTAAACATGTCAGGAGAGGAATTTGCTATTTTTATTCGTCTCTAAAATAGTAGTCTTACTCACAGTACTCTCTCCTTAAGTACAGAAAAAATATCGCATGTATGACATGGGACAGGAGAAGTTCTTACATATGCTTAAAATCCATATCCCAAGTCTCACGTAAGCACAGGTTGGAGATTGTAGGGCATACATGAGAGCAGGACTTCATTTTATCTGCTGCTTCTGCTTGTCCTTTTTCAAGTATTCTATTACTCCTGCCAGTGCTAGTCTTTCAGGTGGCTTGTACAACTGAAGGTATTGTTCAATTTATGAATGGAGGTGTTCTGGTTTTAGTAGCCAGGGGAAAATAAAATCATAGAAACAAGGTCTTTTAAGCGTCTCTGTCCTCAATGTACTGGGGCAAAATTTTTCATTTATACATGCTGCAAAATAGTTTTGGAAATTCTATGCATAACGAATATCATCTCGAGATGTTTCTTACTGATCTAAAAGTGTTGAGAGGTAAACTCAGTGGAAGGATATGACATACAGTGGAAGTTGGATGTCTTCCAAGTCATACTTCGCACTCTGGAAGAACATTTAGGTGCTTTTCAGTAGTTATATATGTAACGGTTGGGCTTGATAATCTTAAAGGTCTTTTCCAATCTAGTTGATTCTATGATCCTATGTATTTTATTACTGCACTTAGTGTTTTTATTAGTGCAGAATAAGGAGAGAGAGAAGAAAAAGGTGTTTGTAGTAATCATCGACTGGATTAAGGTAAGACACCCTGGGGCACTGAACTCACACAGAGTTTTGAAAAGGCGTGTTGTTCCCAGCTTCAGTTTGGGAGTGGGATTTGCACTGCCAGAGATTGCTTGAGTTGGGTTTGTGATTGTGTTCCACTGCTGTTAACTATGTTTTGCTGTTACAGGATAACCTATTTCTTGTGCTGTCTGTCGCCTGTATTCTGCT